GAGGAATAGCGAGTTTTCTGTTGGTGTCTCTTAATAAGTAATTAGAGATATTGCAACGATCTGCCCTTGCTACGATCTATTATGCACTTAACAAGGCCCCTCAAAGTACTTAAGATATATGACGCATAGTCTGCGATACACCCGCCTCTCACTGCTCTTTGACGAAATGTCCCTGGCGGCAGATAGCAATGAGAGGAAGCTTTATCGCAGGCTCTTGGCATCAAGGCTTTTCTACTGTTTACATTGGTAAACCGGTCGCTTCACGGTTTGGGCAAATGGTGAGGAAAACTGATTCAGGACTGATTAATTTTGATTCCATTCGGTAATCGCGTTTACCATTTTCCTAAGTCAGTTTCGTTTAATGAAAAACGGCCGCGAAAGCCTGAAACTAATATTCAAAAAACGTTTGAAGACATGAAATCCGAACTTCCGCCTGGAAGTTTCCAACCAGGAAAATAAGCGATCGCCTTTTCAGACGTTCGTTTGTTTCAGGAATTTTCCACTGAAACGTAGAAAGCAACCCGAAACTGAGTTTATGGTAAGCCTGGCAAAGCACCAAAGAGTCCTCTTAGTTTCTTTTAATGGGTCATAGTCATGCAGTAGCTTCATGATTCATACACGTTGTCATACAAGTATATGCTCCTCTTGGGGCATCCACGTAGCTTTTTTTTTTCAGTTTTGAGAGCCCGCAAGGGTAAAAACTTCGAAAAGAACTATTGCACCAATACTTAGTCTAAAATATTTTTATTGTTTAAAATTGCTTCAAGGAAATTAGTTTTTATAAACCAAATGGCATTAATTGAAGATGATTTAATTCGCAAATATCTCTCAATGCAAAAATTCATTCAGTAATCAGTTTTAGGTTTTAGATTTTGTTCTGTTTATATACCATTTTTTGAGGGAAATCGCCAGTCTGAAACTGAACATGAAAAAGTGTGACGCTATCCCAGGGACCCTAAATGTTGTATCTGAAGAAAATGCTGCAATCAATGAGAATAATAGGTTTACTGGAAGATTTAATTTCGAATGACTTTTAATCTGCCTTTAAGTAACTTGTTTAAAGCATATCTATCGGTAACACTGGCGTGACGGGCCGTGTAACGCTATTTTTAACCACGGCAATGTCGCGTTTTTTTTTGCAAAATTAGGGTTGAACTCAACGTCTTGCAGGCTACTTAAAATCGTTTGCCCAGAGATTTGTTTCGATTTTCTGATAAATTGGGGCCTAGTTAAGCAGTAGAAAGTCAATTTGCGGAATTTTAAGTTATAGCGCACTGTAAAAATTTGCATTATTTTATTCCTATAATTTTGAACGGCAGAAATTGTTAATAGGGCCTATTTTTAACAATACTTTTTTGGCCAAAAAATTATTACAGCTTTTTCAAATTTATCGCCTTATAATAAAGAAAGGGTCATAAAAACTATTCGTGTTCTTCAAAGGCTGCCGAATCGTTGTGGTTTGACGTACGAGTCAATGGAATTTGTGTAAAATTTCGCTTTACCGGAAGTGGATTTTGAGCTCTGAACGGGCAAAATGCGTTTTCTCGAATTTTAACAAAAGAATACTACAGCATGTTTCATTACTCATTAAGGGTTATCGATGAGCCAAATATGAGCGAAATCAAATTTTCAACTTGTGCCGACCGTGGGTCGATATTTACGGAAAGCCACTCTTAAAATGGCATTACATGGCAGTGGGAACATGACACAGGGCTTTGCTGTGCCAGCTTTTGCATGATCAGGCGTTGATCAAAGTTATTGTAGTTCGGTATGAATAGGTCGCTCCGGTAGGCCACAAAAGGGTCTCCTCTCCTGCGCATTGTTGCCCTATTAGTAAAGTACGGCCGACCCTTAGATTACAGGTTCCGGTTGCTGGAAAGATGGTTAAGTTTAACCCAAGATTAAGCCAAATTTTAAGCACGGCCGTTTTCTTGTCTAAGAACATGCAAATGCGACTCAAGTAACATAAAAGTTACAGATAAACAGTAATTACAACACAAGATGTCACACGATCTAAGCAATGCATAGGAAGGTAAATCCAAAAGCAGAGCACAATTTTATTCACAGATTAGCTTTAATCGGCCTTTCGGGAATTGGTCCCAGGAACCTACATTTCACTCAAAACTTAATGCCATGCAACAACTGTTTAAATTGCGGATAAGACCACTTTTTACATTACTTAAGTCGTAACTGAGCTGGGTCACATGCAAAAAAAGAGGAAACAAAGAGCCAGCTAGTGAGTGATCTTGAATGAAGGCATTACCCCGGAAGTGTCTGGAGGTGACTGGAGCCAAAGATATTCCCCCCAAAACGAAAACTAGTCAGTGGCCTTTACAATGAAAATAAAACAGTAAATAAGAACTCAAAGACGCAAATTTACTTGAAAAAACTGGGCTCTTAAACGTTAAACTCTAGTAGAGATGTTTTGCTTTTGAACATGAAGGTGGGTATCTGCCTTTTTAAACTGCATCATGTAAAAGTGATTTTCATAATTTAACCCGAGATGTCAACCTTTGAACCATAACCATAACCATAACCATAACCATGTAAAGACTGTTGTGGACATTTCTCATATCATCTCATAATAGATGAGACCTTTATTATGCTTGGGTCTAAATGTTATTACAGAGATGACAGTCTTTACATGGTTATCTACCTTTAAAGGCTGACATCACGGGTCATGTGACCAAACGGAGCGAGAAAATAATGAACAGGAAAAAATACCACAGAATCTAGAAATGGCTATCAGTTTAAGCTTTGGCAAATTTATAACTGGCTATGAAACGTGCTTTTTCAAAAATTCATCGCTTCAGAAGAAAGAGATATGTCATTCGCGTTCTCTTATATAAAATGTCAGACTAATTAACAGTTTTCAACCCAGTGGAATCTGTTATTATTTTTTCCCTCTGTCTTCCCATTTGTCACAGCTGAATTTTATTGACAGGATTTCATGACTGTCAG